TAAATAAAATATTTTTTAATAATTAAAGATAAATTTTTAAAAATTAAAATTATTAAATAATACAATTGTCTTATAATTTTTTTTTTGATATTTTTTTATTTAACCACACATTGTTTAGTGGAATACTAAAAATTACTGTTAAGAAATATATTTAATATATCTTGCCAAAAGTTTGACTTTGTATTATAACTGCCATATCTTTTAGTACTTAAATGATTTATTTCTTTTTTTTGCTTTATTAAAAATGAAAGTAAAAGTTTAATAGTATTGTTATTTTAATGACAAAACTTTAACTTATTATTTTTTAGGCTTATTTTAGTAGAATTTATGCGTTATCATCATTTTTATTAAAGATTTGTCAAAATTAAATGTTATTTTCATTGTTAAAATGAAATTAAGAAAAAAATTTTGTTTAAAAAAAAGTTTAATAATCAAAGGTAATGATAGTAAATGCTATAATCAATTGTGAAATATACTTTATATTAGAAATTTAATAGTAAAATCCAATTCAAATGGATCTAGTTGATTGACTTAATCCAATCCAAATCAATTTTATATTTTGTGAATATAGATAGGATTAAGACGTCGACTCAATCCAATCTAATTAAATTTGTGAACGTATACAATAGTATTTTGCATTTAAACAATGTAAATAACATTCTGGATAATTAGTCAAAGATTATACTATTAACGTTGAATCTTTATATCTTAAACTTGATCCTAATTATAATGCATCAGAGAATGAAAAAATTAAACAGTTTTTGCAAGGATTTCAACCTGAATTTCATATCACAATTGTTGCTGCTACATTATGTGACTTAGAAGAAGCAATTGACCAAATACAAACTGTTAAAGCTATATTATTTAAAAATAGCATACTCTCTAAATATTCTTTAAGTAAGATTTATTTGACACAAAGTGAAGATAGTATGCCTGAAATATTGGATGCTATCCTAATATATAACGACTTATCAACAAAAATAATGAGAAATTATTGAAAGAATTTAAGCAACTTTTAACAACCTCTAATACTACTTCATAACTTCAAAACACGACATATCATCTTATAAATACTAACAATAATTGAATAATAGTAATAATTTAAAGAAATAATAATAGCAACAACAATAATAATAGTAATAATAGAAGTAATATAATAATTAGGGTTCCTCAAAATTGAATCAAATCAAATATTTAAGCAATTTGAATTTGATTTGATTTTTCAAATCGAATTGAATTAAATCAAATTGAATTCAAATATTTGATCGAATCAATTTGAATTAATTTGAATTTGATTGCATTGAATTGAATTGAATTGAATTAATTGAATTGAATCGAATATAAATTTTTTTAATTTTTACAATGATATATTAAAATAAAGTTATTCTAAAGTTTTAATTAAGAAAATTATTAGTAATTGCACTAAAAAATTTCAAAGATAGCTTTTACAAAGTAAGTTTAGTAACAGATGAATTTTTACTATTAAACTTAGTAAAATAACTCAATAGTTTCAGTTTTATTAAGAAAAACTTAGTAATAATCACCATCACAGTTTTGGTTTACTAAGAAAACTTAGTAATAACTGCTATTACGGCTTCAGTTTACTAAGAAAACTTAGTAATAACCACCATCACAGCTTCAGTTTTACTAAGAAAACTTAGTAATAATCACTATCGCAACTTTAGTTTTACTAAGAAAACTTAGTAATAACTGCTATTGCAGCTTCAGTTTTATTAAGAAAATTTAGTAATAACCACCATTGCAGCTTCATTTTATTAAGAAAACTTAGTAATAATCACTATCTCGGCTTTCTCTTAGTAAAATAGCATTTTCAAAATTGCGAAGATGTTTTTTACTATGCTTTTCTTAGTAAAAAAGCATTTCTGAAGCTGCAGAGGCGTTTTTTACTATGATTTTCTTAGTAAAAAAGGCATTTTCGAAGCTGCAGAGGCACTTTTTACTATGGTTTTCTTAGTAAAAAAGTATTTCTAAAGCTGTGAAGACGCTTTTTACTATAGTTTTCTTAGTAAGAGGCACTTCTGAAGCTTTGGAGATAGCTTTCTATTGATTTAAAATAAATTAAATATTTGAATACTTGATTTGAATTTAATCAAATTGAATCAAACATTAATTTGGATTTGATCAAATAAATTATTCTTTGATTTGAATTTGATCGAATCAAATCAAATATTCAAATATCAAATTGAATTGCAAAACCCTAATAATAATACTTTTAATAAAGAAATTTACTGTTATAATTATCAATAAAAAAGAACATATTAGAGAAACTATAATAGCCTATCCAGAAAATTTTACTCTTACTATAACTAACTTGAATATTAAGAAAATTTATGTTTAACCAGAAATATAAATAATAATAATATTGAAAATACTGAAAAATTACAATAACTTAAATAGTTATAATTTCACTTGACAATATGCTATATTATCTCAAACTATATCAATATATAGCTCAACTGTTATTCATTTTTCTTAGATCTCTATGATTTTTTCAATATCTAATCCACTAACAAATACTAGTAATATACTTTTATTTTTATCACAGTCTTTAAAGTAACGATAGTACTTAAGGATAGATCAATTCAGTTTAGTCTAATTCAGTTCAAAATGATCAGTCTCAAATTTCTTTTTAGTCTAATCCAGTCTATAAATAATTCTTATAAACTAGCTTTTCAGTTCGAAATTGAATGATATATAGTTAAAAATTATTCAATAATTCTTTAGTTTGTTTAGAAAGCTTTTGGAAAATTTTAGTATGACGCTATCAGAACAACTTGCATCTTTTCATATTTCATAAAAGCAAACATCTAATGGTTAGACATTTTAAAATCTTCAGAATTGTCATAAATGTTTATCATTTCTGGCTTCCTTAAAATTTCCAACATTTTGACTTATGTGAATGTATAAGAAACAGCTAATTTCTTTTTTTTTATTCTATAATCTAATTATAAAGTTTGTTTTTGCTTCAGAAAAAATTCTCTTCTTTCAGAACAAATTTTTTAATATTTTGGTTCTTTTTAAACTATTTTTCGCTTGCTTTTATCCATTTACCAACCATACTACTATTAAGTTTGATTGAGTTTGAAAACAAGTTTTAAATCCAATTTTTGAAATTTGTATGATTTTATATCATATTACACATTATGTCACATATTACATTACACAAAAATTGGCAAAATTTTTTGTCAATCTAAAATTTATAAAAAATACCTGAAAATAAGCACGCTCATAATAAAATAAGATGCTTATTTTCAGAATAGTATAGTATTATTATTATTATTTTGCTACCAAAATGAGAATATGGCCCATAATGTAAGTCTAATATGATAAGTAACCTGTTGCTAATAAAATAACTACAATTTTGTAAGTCTTAAGTATTTAAAAAAGAATGATAATTTTGAGATTCAAAAGTAATATTAAATTTTTTAAGTTACTTATCCCTGATTGTTATAATAAATCATCATATGTAACGCTGCAGATCACATGTAGATCAACAATTAATATATTTAAAAAATACTTATATTATTAAATCATATATTAATCCTATTACAATTATTATCATACAATCATTATCATTAGGATACCTTTGATAAATTGTTAGATCATCAGCAACAAGTAAATTCAAGGCAGGTTCTATTTTTTCCATTTTTCTAATATATAATAGGTGGAGTTTTACCTAGTAATGATATCTAATTTAGACGCCAAATAATTAATTCCTTAAAGTTGACATAATGCTTTTAGAGAATCATTTGTTGGTTATGATGCTTTGATAAAAATATTAAAGATCAAACTTTTTTAACAGATTGATCTATTAATTCAAGTTTTTTAATAACTGCTAAGTTTAAAATTAAGCAACACACCAGTAATGAGAAAAATGCAGGTTATCAAATTCCTTTTCATGTTCTTCTGATATAAATACACCACACGAAATCATTAAATTTACATTATTGTTTGTTATTGTTAAAGCCTTTACTGATAAATTAAACTCATAAAGAATTATCATTATAGCATCTGCCATATTGATTCCAGAATGATAAACAGATATTGAGATAATATCAAGAAGGAAGGATTTTAAATATACTGTAAGTATATTCTGATGAATTAATAATTATAAAAATGCTTATAAAGAATTTCAAGATATTATGATTCTCTTTAATAAAAAATTTTAACTAATAATATTAAACTGATATGATATTAATCCAAAAGTGTGATCAACTTATTAATTTTTATTTTGATTCATACATATGAAAAATCGTTTAGTTAATTTCTTTATTTAATTAGATTAACTACTTGACAAAATAATTATCTCACTTATTCAATGAATCTTATAAGTACCAACCATTACTATTGAATTGCTAATGAATTTATTACCTTTTAACAACTTAAGAGTCAATAGTTATGAAGATCTAAACGTATTATAGTAATAGCATAATGAATTTAACTTGCAGAATATTGTCTATTTTTCGGTTTTATTTATGTTATATAGATTATTAGTTACTTATCAAATTCCTAACTACATATTCAATTTTTCTTCTAAAAGTTTTACTTTTTAAGATTTTATTGTGGCATTATTTATTGATAATTTTAATATTGTTATATTTATATTGTGAAAAATAGACGAATTAAATTGTATATTGTGATTTCTTTGCTAAAAAGTATTACACTTAATTTGTATACTAATTTACAGTAATTTATATTTAACGTATTTCAAACTTTTATCCAGTTAAAAACGAAATTCTAAAAAAAAAAAAAAAAGTGAAAGACGATTCTAAGCTTCATTTAAAAATGGATTCTTCGTAAGTTAATTATTTAATGTTTTCTCGACATATTAACTAGGAATAACCCGTAATACAGACCACCTGATTAATCATTTGACTTTTTTTTTGATTACATGTTCGTTGAATATCCGTAATTATAACATCTTTATTACAGCGCGAAACTTCTTGTATGTAAATTTAAATTTTGGTATAAAACTATAGTTACTTTTTTGACAGCTCATTTTCTATAATTTTAGCATAAAAGCCATTAAAATCTACTCTTAATAGAAATTCTTGCAAAAATCCTCCACCGGATTGATTATCAACTTTATCATGATAAGATCTTCCACCATCATGACTTGTAGAACTAGTTCTTAAACTTTCACCTTCAGGATTAATAACAGTACGTTTCATTCCCATTCCAATTCTACCACCACCTTTCTCATCTAAAGCCTTTAATATCTTTACAAGCATTGCGGAATATAATCTAAACTTTCCATATAAATCTTTAATTGAATTCCAGTATTCTTGTCTTTTTTGCAAATCAATTATTCGTGATCTTTTTCGTTGCAATGTATTAGCAAAGGTTAATATCACAGTAAAAATTCTATTTAGAACCTTCATAATCGCTTCTTGTTTCTTTTTTAATAAACATTGAAACAGCATACGATCTAATACATGATCATGATATGCACGTAATGATTCAAGGTCTTTTACGCCCTCTCCCATCCCATCGTCATCTTCCTCATCTTCAAATTCATCCATATTTCCTATTGAAAAGACATCCGATTGTCCATCCAAAAAACTAACCGTATCACTCATACTTCCACGTCCCCAAAGATGTTCACGTGGAAGTTCAAATTCGGATTCTTTCGCGATTTTATTTAACCTCTTCATAAATAACGTCCATGTAGAAGATATTGCAACGTCAAATACATATCCATGTAATGCAATAATAAACTGCTGAGCCTCAAATCGAAATTTTTGAACAAGTAGACTATGTTCAGCAGCCTCGTCATCATCATCATACAAATAACGTTCATAAGCAAGTCGATAAACATGTCTAATCACTGTTCCCATACGCAAAACACGCAAAAGAAACGTAAACAATCGATTATATTTTGTTAACGAGTTCGGCGATAGAATGACATTAATCGGATAAGGAGGTTTGTAATCAAGGTAAAGAAAATCCAGTGCTTCCAAAGCTTGAAAATTTAAAATAAATTATTTTTATTATATTAATCAATAGCATGTTCGGAAAAATTCGAATTATAAGTAAAATATTCAAAATAAAATTACCGTTCGGATCACTACAAACTTCGGATTCTTCATAATTATGGATACCAAACATAAGCATATTATCCAAATCATTAACTTTGCCCCATGCATCTATAGTCTCATTGGAGTCTCTATTTTCCAAATTCTTTTTTTCCAAAAGAATAGTTTCTACAATAACAGCCTTTAAAGCCATCCTCCATTCGATTCCAACAGGCGGCCAAGTTTGACGACTATTCAATCTAATACCAAGTCCTATACCCATTCCAAGATTATTATTGGCTGAATAAACACCTACTCCATGATCAACGTTGTCATTGAATAGTGCATCAACCAATCCAGAAACAAATGTTCCATTTCCCATAAGCATAAAGTCTCGCAAGACACTTAAATGTGCACGAAGATCAAGATCATGGAAAAAAATTGATAGGATGGAAGCATTAATCAAACGACAATGACAAAGTAAAGTTTGTCGAACTACTAATTCTGTAACAGCTTTTAGAGGAAGAATATATTCCTTATGTGCATAAGAAGAATTTGAAGATTGTACTTGCAAAAGACGTTCAATTAATGCCGTTGTTGGATTATCATTTATTGAATACGATAGTGCAAAGTCAACATCATCTGTTCGATATATACTGAATATATTTTCAATATTACAAGCCTGGTCAATTTCTTCAGGAGTTTCTTTCCGAGTCGGTGGAAAAATATTATTTAATTCAAGGTTCTTAATAGATGTTTGAATTTCAACCGGTGATTCTACAAAAACTGGCGTATTTCTGAGCTTTTCAGGTAGGGGTACAATGATTGAGGGATTTTGCAAATTTGATAAATTTGATGTAGCTCCAGGAATACTCAGTTTTTTCTCTGCTAAAAATTTCTATTATAATAAATTTACAAAAGTAAAAATCCAAAACTAATTAAATTTTTTTTTTAAAAAAAAGACAAATGTTACCTCCACACTTTTCTTCCATTCCATTTTCTTATTTAATCGTTCATCAAGTTCCATTCTTGCAGATTCTTTCTTGTGACTAAATAGCAATTCAGCCTAAAAATATCGCAACAAAAAAAATTTAGACTATGCGTATGCTAAATTTAAAATAAATAAATAAATAAAACAAACATCATGTTTCCTCTTTGTCATTTTTCTCTGATAACGTTCACGAATTCGGGAAATTTCAACTTTACGGTGCTCATCTTGTATAACAATTGCTATTGACATGTCTTTTGAGTAATTTTGTAGCTGTTCTTTCATACTATATAATAGCATATAAAAATTATATATATAAATATGAAAATATATTGTAGAATACTTTATAATTGTAAGTTATTACAAATATTACATCTTATTGATTCTTCACCTACTCATCAATTTCTCCTTGGATGAATAACCATTTCATTTTTATATCCCAAGCTTGTTTACCGGTTGTTTGATCTAATATAACACCCGGATGACACAATGGATGATTTGGGCGACAATCTCGTAACAATCTTAGAGATTTTCCTGCTTCAAGAACATCTCGAGCTAACTCAGAATCAATAAAAGCAGGAAGTGGATGGTCTTCGCTTATCTGTGATAGATATGATAAATTATTCACGAATTTATAAGAATTATACGAATCTAAGGGAAAAAAGCTTACATGAATTCCACCTTGCCAAAATCCATCCCCATCATTCTTAACATGATTAGAATCAACTTCAAAATTAACGATAAAGAATTCCTCATACGGATCGAGAAAATCACCCTTTTGTAATTCCAATGGTAATGAAACATAAGGAGATGATGAACAAACACCTAACCAGGAACTTAGCATATGGAAAAAAGGATAACTCGATTGCTCCAAAAATGCTAACAATATAGATTTCAGAAGTGGAGTTCTTGCTGCATCTATTGACTCTGCAGTTGTGTATAGCTCTGATAATATATTGGAACCAAATGGCACATAAAACCCTTCATTTTCAATTTGTTCTTTTTGATTTTCTGTAAATTCTAATATCCTCGAATTCTCTACATCCTAAATTTATGCATTATATCAATCAATCATCATCACATTAAAGTTTATTAAAATCGAATATAGTAAAATTTGTTTAATCCTTACGCATCGACAAAACGCTGCAATTCTTTCCATTACTAATGATGCATCGTCTATTATATGATAAAGTCGAACAATTTTCATTTGATCTTGTCCAGTTATTGTTTCAGCCATTTCAACTATTGAAGTTCGTACAAATGCAATAAATGAAGAAAGAGATCGTCCAAAGGCGACGCCAGTTAATCCATTTAAACTGAGCAAAAGAAGTATGAAATATAAATATATGTAATGAATTATAGATAATATCCAATAATAATAACAAAATAATCAAATATACCGTGCATTCCTCATGCACCCTTCGGATACAGTTTCAAGTCTTTTAATATGCGAACCAAGATTTAAAAACCGTCTCAACATTCTAGAAATAAAATATAAATTTTAAGTAAAAATTTCATATTAATTAATTGATAAATATCTAATTCCCAAAAAATCATATTTATTTTAACATACTTATTCATACTTTTAGAACTACATCCACTCATACGAAGGGTTGAAAATTTTGAAATGAACTTTCTATTAGAATTATCATAGGTAAAAGTTTGAGATGGCGTTCCAATTATTAAATTTAGAACATCTTTGATTAAAACTTCATGAGGAATGGAGAAATTAGTATATCCATAAGAATGGTAAAAATGGCTATGATAAACGGATTCAAATACTGAAATATCTGATTCTGTGAAATACGGAGAAGTCTGATTCTGTTTTAACTTTGATGTTCCAGTTGACTCCCAAGAAAACATTTGTCCCTTTAACAAAGATCAAAAAACAAAATAAAAAAAATTGTTTCAGGAAGATTTTACATAAAACATCAAAAGTCTTTCATCTTTACCCGTTTCTTATCAAAATCCATTGCTTTCTCCCAGACTGTCTTATTTTCAGATGCCGAATTATATGTACTCTCAGAAATTTGCGTTGATTTAGAACATTGGGTTTCATCATCATGTATACACAATTTCTCGGAATTTTTAGTTTGGTTATATTTAAATTGCGAATTTGGACTCGGTAAAGAATCTAATAGGACATCAATTGGTTTAGAAGGCAGCTCGGGTAAATGAAATGAAGGATCAAAACCTTTATTCAAGTTTAAACTAAAATCCTGATCTATATGTAAAACGAGAAATTAAAGATTGAATAAACTTAAATATTTGATTGTTTTGGTTGAACAATAAATACCAAAATTTGATGATGTTCCACATAGAATTTCACGTGTATCAGATACACTATTTTCAAATTTTTCACTAGAAAATAATTTTTGCAAACTATTATCGTTTAAAAGTAAGTCGTCTTCGTTTATCATTATTTCGACTTTTTTTTTTAAAAGTTCGATTTTGAATTAAATAACATGCAGATCCTTAAAAATTTTTCTACTTTATAATTTGTGATACAAAACCTGACATGCATATGTATAAATAACTCCCGAGTACACCTAATTTTTAAAAATATAAGTATTGATAATTCTATCTAAAAAGTATTTAAGTAATGATAATTTTCTTTTTTGAAGTTCCGTGTTTTCAAATGGTTATCTTTGCGCGTAATGCGACGCGTCATTGTGCATTTTGCATATTTGAATGCTCCAAACATAATCGTTTCGAAATGCAAAAAAGCTCGAACATGTGATTTGATACAAAAAATAATTAGTCAAAACACCGTGAAAATGCATTTATTATAAAAAAAAATTTCTTTTTTGACTCCTAAAGACTTGAATTGTATTAAAATAAAATAAAATAAATAATATTTTGAAAATCCTATCACAACTATTAATTAATGAATACAGCTTTTTCTTCAATAGGATAACCCAATTTTTGCAAAGATTTTCTAATGTTCTCGTTAAATTGATTACTACCACAAACAATTAATTTAACCTGTTTAGAATTATCCATAGCGAATTGTTTCATATAATTATGTTTTTCATTCATTAATAACATTTCGTTCATAGGAATGCTTATGGGTGAAACATGAGATGGTGAAGATGATGAACTCTTTCTGGATAATGAAGTTATTTTATCGCAATCATCATATCGCTGTTGCTGATGCATTTGATCGTCATCATACATATTACTAACCAAATTATTATGATTATTTGGATTATTAGAATAATAAGTATGAGCATTCAAATTATAGTTTTGAGTATAATTATCATTTAATCTTGGTGGAATTGCAGGAGGAGGCACGGAATAATTTTGACAAATCCAATCATATAATTTTGTATCATCGATTAATCCACTTAAATCATTCCAAATTGGTGGTGGTTTTAATAAAATATAGGTAATTTTAAGTTTTCCTTTGAGTACCTGACATAAATAATCCAAATATTTTGGGCATATTAGATCAGCTATTGTATCATTTGCTACTAATAAAAATAATTTGAAATCGGAATTTGAAGTGGACGCTTTGTCCATATGATATTGTATCTTATAAATAAAAATATTAAATATTAATAAACTAATAATTGAAACAATATTTAAATAATGCTTAAAATTTAAAAAATTTAAACATCTTACCAGTTGTAACATTGGAGTGATTCCGGTACCACCACAGACCATAAATAAATAATCCCAGCATAAATCTTCTCTTACTTTATTTAATAATATTCCACTTCTACCATCAAGTAAATTAAGGTGGGTATTGATACTATTAGACCTTATTATGCTGAAATTGTTATTATACATTCCACTAGCAATTCTAGCATTGTTAGAAGATAAATAAGTTGGAGATGATGGTCTACTATTTATCGAATCCGGCTTTAAAGATGGCGATGAGGTTACTTGTGAAATTCGATCCGCTATATCAAATGGTCCTCTCGCTTTGATCTCAAAATTTTTCAATTGCTTATTCTATAAATACAAAATAATTAATCCATTATTTAAAACACATATATATATACCATGATTCAATTTACTTACCAAATATTGAGACATAATACCATCTTTATATATTTTAACAAATATACAAAAACTATTTTCATTTGGTCCTTGAACTGGAGTATATAGTCTAGTAGTCACTTGATTATTGGTAAAACTCATGATTTCAATATAATCACCAGGAAGGAATCTCGGTAATGTATCGTTTTGATGTATAACTTGAAATGTGAATTTTTTAACAGGGTTTTCAGAATTTTGTCTAGTTACAAATTCAATATTGGTTAAAATATATCTTCGGAAAATATTACAATGTAGTGGTTGGTTTGGTGGCTGGTTTGGTGGTAGCAATGTCATAAGAGGTTCTTTTTCATCACTTATTTCTATCTGTTTATATTTTATCCTGGCAGTTACCATACTAGCTAATTTAGACGTAGCAAATTTTGAATGACGATGCATTGCAACTCTGCGATTCTTAAATGATTTGGAATTTATCATTTCAACAGCATTTGCCACGCTTTGAGGCTTTATCTTGGCGTCACACGTTTTTTCTTTATGTGTATTATCCGTTAATACCGAGATACTAGGTCGTGGTACATCATAATCATTAGAGTTATTCGAGATAACTATTTGATCTGCAGGATCAAAGAAAAAATCTCGTGTAATATCAGTACCAACTACTCTTTTTAATATTCTTTGTCCTCCTGGATGTACAGGAATCCATCGATGTATATCAAATACCAATCCTTCTGCTATAACTAAATTTGCTCCCGTCATAACTCTATTATTAAATTCCTGTAAATAAATAGAAAATTTTATTTTGATTTTTTTAATAAAAAAAAAAAAGAAAAAAAAATCTCTTTTTTATTACATACATTCAAAGTAATGACGGGTAAATTTTCGAAAATTTCTTCAGGAATACAATTATGAAGCCGTCTTGTTGCATCATTTGTTTCTCTTATCGGCCACAAGAATTGCATATTCTTGATTTTATAATAAAATTCGCTTGTGGTTATCACAAATCCAAAAAAAACTATTAATCGTAAAATTTTTGTTATTTTAAAAATAAATAAATTATTAATAAAGTAAGTCTAAAAATTATTGTTTATTAATGATATTTACCTAACCAAACTACATAAGCCCAAACGAATGCCTTATTCGCTCCATATACGTGCATACCAAAAAATATATTAACCCTATACGAATAAAAATAATACAAATTAAATGTGCCAAATATTTTTTTTCCTTCCATTTTTTTTAGTAAATATTAAATACATACCATGCAGCTAAAAGCAAAATTCCTCCCAAATAGATATGTAAATGCTTTAAATTACGAACAATTCCTGTTGCTGCGGATTCAACATTAGCCAATCCCCAAATCGCCATTATACCCAAAGAAATTTGTATTATTGTGATAGAAAATATAGTAATGCCGATTCTAAATAGATTAAAATTATATGAGCATTTACGGAGTTCAATACTTCAAAATGAGGGTTAAAGAAAATTTATTTACATTGCATGAGGACTCTTTGCGTGTGAAGGTGTTACTGACATGGCTGCTACGGCAAATATTCCTACCATCATCCCGCCAAACAAATTTAAATTTCGATGCTGCACCATATAACTATCGATATGCCTTAAATATCTGACTATCCATACTGAACCTGAATTAAATACAGATTTATAAAAAAGGTAAAAAAAAAAATTTTTAATTTAGAAAATAAATAAATAAATAAAAAGTGTAATTTTATACTTACTTGGAAATAAAACTCCCCAAATAGTAAACATAACAATTCCATGCATCATTAATATTCTCATTCTACCGTCCTTGATGTTTGACATACCGCTCCTGAAATTTACTTCTCTCTTACCACGATTTCCACCATGATAAGTTAATTCATTTGAACTAGGGTTCCAAGCATAGATCACTAAAAAAAATAAGCGTTATTATACATCATAAATCATTATTTTAGTATTCAACACCCCTAATACTTTCTTTACATACTTTGGATAGTACCATCAATAGATTTTCGATTTTTAGCATTTAAAGGTCGCTTGACTTCAACTTGAGTCATTCCATTTACAACTTTTGTTTCACCTAATATTGTTATGATTTGATCGTCAGGTAATTCTTTTGGTTTAATACCAATTCCAGCACCTTTGTAATTCTTTCCAGTGACGGTAATTTCTTTGGAATTTTCTTTCTTTTGGTTTTGAAATATCATCATATCAGTTCCTGACATCGCATCACCCTCAGGATTAAATCCTATTCCAAACCATGAATTTGTACTACTCACTGTAATCAAGAAAGCAATGTCAGAGCCATCTATTTTCCATTTAAGAACAAATCCATCAGAAAGTGTTAAGGTATCATTATAAGTGTTATTGTTTTCAGGCATTTTTAATGAATTTGGTGGTTGCACAGACCAAAGATTTTGCGGGTATAATGATGATTTTGGCGAGTTCCTTATTAAAATATCTAATAAAGTAGTGGTTTTGATTTTTGCTATATCTTCTTGACTAAATCCCGCATCTTGATTTTCATACCAAAATCTGTCGGAATCTCTAATTAATTTCCATTGTTCTGAAAAACTTTTATAAAATAATTCTCCATAATTTCCTCCATTAATATGATCTTCCGCTAATCCACCCATTAATGCTTCAACTCGATCTACAGTTCCATAAGTATCTTCCAATCTTTTTTGAACATCAAGATCGCTTGAGATTTCTGCCCACGATGATTTCCTTGTTAAACCAAATGCTTCTCTTGCATCATTATATAATGGAATACCACGATCTCTACTTCGAACGGTATCGAGACTAAAAGAAATAAAGGTATTAAAAAAAAATCTAAACACGTGATATATATCATGAACTTTTACTTATATACCTGGCAATATCCATTTGTTCTACTGATCTGTGAACATAACTTCGCCTAAATAAAGACAAATAAAATGATCTATCTTAACACAAAATAATTAACTATAAAATAGAAAAAAAAAGAATAGATATAAAACTTACATAAAATCAGACATATAAATGTCAACTTCTTCTTGTCTATAAAATGTTAAATTTAAGATAATTAAAAAATATTAATATTTTCTATTATTTTATTATTATGATAAATACCTTTGAAGTGCCAACGAGAGAATAATTGATGGAATTCCAAAGGTTTTTAATAATCCGGGTGCTTGTACATCATTTAGTGATATCGTTGTAAGAGGCTTCCCTGCGTCATTTACGATATTATAAAAATCGCTAAATATATAAAAAAATAATTAAAATTAGTAAATATGGTAAAATAATATCAATATAATCTTTTATCATATTTGTTTTTACCTAACTTCGGAATGACCATAACGATAAGTTACGGTAGCAAAAAAAGTATTGATTTCCGGTTTAAGATCCGGTTTATATCCCTCATATATAGGTAAAGGGGTTCCCAACGCAGTTCCGACTATGATATTTGTATTTCATAAACCATATCGTAAATAACTACAATATAGCTAACCAAATACTTAGTAATAATAATAATAACTTACGATATTCAAAATAAGTAATTCTTTGAATAAAAGCGATAACCCATCTTCTAGCTTCCTGAAAATATTGTTCATCATTCCAATCATTTCCATGAACGGCAAAAAATTCATCACACAATCGATTATGTTCACGTAAGAGAATTACGTGAAACAAATCAGTAAAAACATTCCTAAATATTGCACCATATCCCAATATAAATCTTCCATCCTCATCAACTAACGGATATCCAAGCTCTCCATCAGACGTAGAGTAATCTATTTCCAACCGCATTTTCCCGTTATTACCATAATCTCTAATTCGTTTCAGTTCAGTATCATTGTTACCATAAATTGTAGATGCGTCAACAAATGATGTTGCTTCATTTATTCCTGTATATCCACCTTTGGGATCTGATCGACTAAATGGTAAAGATTTCTATAAAATAATATATCAGTTTTTTGTAATAATTCTTATTATAAACTACGATAATGAATTTACCGTTGTAAAAGTAAAGTTTATTGCTTTTGGTCCGTTCCTATAGCTAGATAAATACGATATATCGTCCTGAGGAATATAAATGCCTGTTGGATAATTTTCTCCGTAATCTGGACCAGAGCTAATGTCCATTTTCATGAAAAATCCCCAATATGTTAACTTTTTTTTATTTAACAATACATTAGAAATTGCTTTTTTAATAACTTAATGTACCGCAGCAAAAAATCATTCTGCGCCACCGCAATTTGAGGAAAATACTTACAATATGAGAAATATCCCGCTTGCTTTTGAATTTCTCCAAAAGTGGTAAATCGAACATATTATCTTCATTCAATTGCAAAGACGTCAATTTATTACTAACACACCTAGGCAAAGGAAATACGCCATTGGGTAATGTAGCATTACAAGCAATAAGTGCATCTGGGACATTGGCAGTATAATTCCCTGGCGTAGGAATCATATTATAATTCGCATCTGCGAAATTTGGCTTGGAAGGAATATTTCTGACGAATGGAATGTTTGAAGTTCCAATTAATAGCTCATTTCTGTTATTGCCTTCGCCATTTAAAGACCGATATTCCTGATATGTAATGATTATTAGTAAAGAAAGAATTGTGAAAATAATATAAAATAGAAAATTGAACGGTTTATTTTCATATATCATTGTTGAATTGAAGAGTTTTTTTTTCGCTCAAGAATGTTCTATTTAACCATTTCTTCTTAATGACTGATCATATTTGGAATTCATTTACATTTTTTATGCATGATCTTGATCAAAAAAAAAATTAAAAAAAAATACCCCTAAAAAAAAGTTTCACATTCCTAAAATATTAGTTTTGTGATTTGGTAACCATCAAAAATTAATTTTTTTTTTCCGAATTTATAAATAATTAAAAAATTTATTAATAGCATTAATACATTAAACAATTTTTACAATTATAATTTTGAATTTTTCAACGTCAAGATAGCCAAAAATAAGTGCTAAAAATAGAAAGTTTTATTATTTTTAATTAAAATTCAATATTTCAAAATCTAAGAATTATCAGCGAATCAAGTTTTGGTATGATTTTTTGTGCCATTATTATTTTAGCTATTAATTTGGAATTTTATAAAATATGGGACCTTTGCAATAGAAAAGGGGGAAACTGCCGAAAAAATAAAAAATGAGTTAATGCTAAATTTCGGCCTGAAAATCATATTTGATATATAAAAGTAAAATCGGAACATTGGGTATGATACAATTTAAGTTTCCCGGCGGTTTCTTCCATTCTATTGCAAAGATCCATTTACGATTAAAGATGGTCGTCGGTTCTAAAAGATCGTGGCCTCATCAGTCTTACACTTCTAAAGACGGACCAGTGAATAGGTCCGTGGTCTTTTCGATCTTATAATCACGAGAATGTCACGTGATTAATACTGAAAAAAGACTGGTGATCAAAAAATTTAATCTATATAATTAATACCTTAGTTAGTCTTTTTAGGACCGATCGTCTTATAGCATAATTGGGGACTGACGATTTTTAGGGACCGTTGGTCCTGCTTGATAATTAGCCATATGAAAAGACATATGATTGTTCGAATTTTTCACATAATACATCATTTCCCCTATTAATGATTTTGAAAATAATCAAATTGATCTATATACCAATTTCTGCTAAACCTAATTCAGCAATTTTTTTTTAAACTTTGAAAAAACAAAACAAACAAAAGCAACAACAATCAATCGGAATTAACATTGAAAATTTGTATTTTCAAAATATAAATCATCACTAAATATCTAATTAAAGATATGATTATATAAAATTTGAGTATCATTATATAAATAAATAAATTTTTTTTAATTTTCAATATATTGGTGATGGATATGAAAATTTAGCTATTATCATTTATTTTATTAATATTAATTGAATATTAAATATTTTGTATTAAATATCTTTTATCTTTCTTTATTACTTAATTCTTAGCAAATTGTTTAATTAAAATTATAAGTAATAATAAATAAAAATGATTGTTATCACTAGACAAATTGGATTAGAACTAGATTTATAAGATAAATATATTTAAATCTTACAATTGAAGTAGCAATTTTAGTAAATAATATTTTTGAATATTAAACCTTTATGTTATTAAATATTTTTCAAAATAAATGAAAAAATTAAAACAATATTTAAAAGAAAGTAATTTCTTTTAAAATACCATTTTTATAATAGTATAACTCAATAAAATTATATATTATATATAATGCATATAGTTTAAAGTCAGATAACATATGAAAAAGTAGCCAAATTTTAATCATACATAACATGACTTATAATATAAATCATATTGTAACCCAAATGATCTTCAAGAATTACAAGTGATCATCATGTAAATTGATCTACAAAATCAATGACACAATGATCTGCAAAAGTGATCTATAAAATTAACCAGATCAGTTAATGAAGAAATGAAGTAATAGATCATTAGCCTATAATGACATGCGTAACCTTTTAAACTAGAAACTTCAAATAGGAACTTCAAGAAAAAACTAGTCAAAGGCTAAGTATAAAGATGTAATAATAATTTAAGAATAATATAATTATATTCTCTACATCTCTTCAAATACATATATATTCTAATTATAGGATTATTGCATAGCGATTAGGTAATTATTACTCAATTATTACAATAGAATTACATAAAGAAAGATGAGGAAATTATTATATAATTTTTATGCAATAGATAGCAATTTAGTGTAAAAATTTTATTATAAATAAGCTGAATTTTTTGTTAGAAATTTAGGAAGAAATTTAAAAAGAAAAACTTAGGAAATTTGAAAGATAATTCATAAGTTAATAAAAATCTTTGCTAAAATGTCTCAACAAATCAATCACCTATATCAAATATATTTTGTGTCAAACTATTTTGTATCAACTGTATTTAATATTATTGATTTATTCATGTTAATAAATCTTTTAAGTGTTAAATAATTGCTTTGTGTTAACCACTATGTTTAGAGTTACTAATGAGTTAAAGTATTTATATTGTAAAATACTTTAAACTGAGCATCACCAATCTGGTTATAATAAGTTTATTATAATGTCAATAAGGTAATTTCTCTAACTTTTTAAGAATTTATGAGTTACTTGAAGTGGATTAGAAGTCTTCATACTTGCCAATTCAGAAACTTAATCATAAAAATATACAGACGTCAAGCGAAGTTCAACATAATTAAAGTCTTTTCTAAATTATTGTAAAGATTGAGCAAAATCTTGCTGCTACTTAATTGATTACGTATTTCAGTTCGCCTAATCAATAATTGGGTAATAATATGATTGCATATTATCAATTTTATTAAAATATTTAATTTATTATATTATTTGAAATATACCTATAAGCAGTGTTATTATAGGACATAGTTAAAATACTGATAGGACACTGATGGGACATTGATGAAACAGATAAAACATTTGAAACATATATAGGAATAGTTAGGACATATAATTGTGATAAAAAATGCTTAGGACATAGAAAATGTACATCATTACCTATAAGATATATATTTTTTTAACTATATATAAAGCTTTTATAATTTAATTATTTTCTACAGTAAACAAAAAATATAATTAGAAAATCATATAATAATATAATTTAAATTTTTTCTGCAATATATAGTAAATCATAAAGATATTTTACATAATAATGTCATGGCTTATTTTATACATGATCATCATATTTATTTTGATATATATTATGATTTATAAAATTTTATTCCTGAGTAGCTATGATAAATATTATACTTGAGTAATATCATATAGTAATAATCTCTTTATAAAATAATAGCTTCATGATGTCAAAACTTTATATAAATAACTTCTATTTCACTCTCTACAATATATAATTATTTAAAAAAAGTCTTAAAGTAGGTTATTCTTTAAATTCTTTACTTTGGTCTGATAGATTAAAAAAAACTTACTTCAAAAAAACTTTGTCACCCTAGTCAATTTATTTCACAAAATAAATATTTTGAACTTAAAAATACTTTAAATTAATTTTATCTAAACCTTAATATCAATTTAAGAACTATTCTTAATGAACTTCATAACTTTAAATATCATTATATAATTTCCAAAGCTATACTATTAATTATCACTATTCACAAATAATGTCATATAGAATAGACAATAAGACATCAAAATAAAAATTGAAAGCAAAATATTTTCTGATGAAACTAATTTTCAAATATTCCAAAATACTCAAAAAGTATTTTATAAAATTGGCATACAACTTTTACAAAAACCTATCCTTTAGATTGTCTAGCAGGCAAATTTGCCTGCGAAATTAAAAAAAATTATTAATTTCTTTATAAAATATTAAATATTAATTTTAGTAATATTATTACTATATAAAAAATATAATTTAATATATATT